AGTGAAAACTTTTACTTTTTAAAATACAACTTAAAGAACACCAAAAATCTACTTATTCATTTGTCATTTTCAATGATACCTGTCCTGTTTCCTGATTGCTAAAATATACAACCAACACCTACAAGTTTTTAGGTCATGCATTTGCCATAATTATTATTTTCTCTCAGCTGAGACGGAACTACACTGAACACTGCCCTCACAACCAATTATACACAAGCAGGATATTGAGAAGCAAGTAATGAGGTCAGACTACTGAGAGGTGCACTGTATTGGTCTTAGTGTTAGTTACTGTGTCTGATCTTTTGTTTTCACCAGCAATAATTTGTTGATAACTTTGTTTTTAAGCTGTTTAATGCTAAACTTGGGCTCAGAGTGTTTATCCCATGACCCCCACACAGGCAGGGCTGTGCAGTTCAATGATTTCTCACAAACAGAGGAACACAGGCTCATGGCATGGTGAGACAGGGAACCAGTGGAGGGACTCAAAACAAGCAAACAAATCCATGAGGAGGAATTAGTGATGGGATGTTTGAACCCGAGGCTCAAACGGAGGCTACCATGTGTAAAGGGGTGAGGAAGTTAAAGTCCCACTTTAAGATATGTATCATATAGCAAAGAACCATATGACTCATGACAAATCTGTCTTCACATTACATAGGGCACATCACTGATTTGTTTAGAGTACTGGTTTCTGCATGAATGTGTCCTAAATCCAGCAGGTTGTGGGTTGTTGTGGGTCAAGAATGGAGAACATGTATACGGTAAAGGTCTTCACAGGTCCACAACCAAGGACTCATGAGCCGACCATGACCCCTCCAGATTCAGATACCTGTTCTATACAGTCAGTTTGATCCAGGTTGATTCCTGTTATATTCTCAATAGTGCTGCATCTGCTTTATTTAGCACCTGAGAGCACCTGTAAACGGATAACACTTTTTGTGTGAGGGATAATATGAGTTAGGACTTGTTGTCTTTGAAAGCCATGCATGACACTGCCAAAGGTGAGGATGTGTTCAAACGAGTTGTTTTGACTAAAACCATCTGCAAGTAGCTTCATCATCATCACTACCATCTGAAGTGAGGCAGTCCCATGCAGCGACCATATTAAGCCTCATTAATGCTGCTTGATTGCCCATTTAAAACGATGTATCTGCTCGGTCACTTATGTGTCTTTAACGTTGGCATGATTGCTAAGAAATACATCCACCAGAGGGCAGCTCAGGGTCAAGCGTTTCTGACAACATCAGACACAGATGATGGAGGAGGATGTGATGTTGTTTGTCCCATGTTCCCCAGCAAAGTAACACGATGACCAGTAGTACTGCTCCATTTCGTCTGTTTCATCCATATCTGCAAAGTGTATAAATAGACAAAATGAACAGAGAGTACTGACAGAAGGTTCTGTTTCCATATATGTATCAAACGTTGAGCAAAAATGAGCCTCCTGGCCCTCAAAGGATGTTATAGATATTAAAAAGACCCATAAATGATCGGTGTAGCAGAATGGACAAGTGTTAAGCAGTGAATTTGTTATTATTATTCATATTTGCATTTTTAGTTATAGGTATCAAACTACCGATGATACAATACTGGCATTCAAAAAAAAAAAAAATTATCCTCACCTGTAACACACGTCACTGAAGTTCTTCTGTTCACCAGCATCCTCAGAAATGTTAACACTTCAGAACAATTTTCCGGAATGCGAGAAGTGGTGCCTGGGTAGAGCTTGTCATAAATTCCATTATGAGGTGTTGGGCCTTATCGTCAAAAGCTCTCAAATGTCTGAGTTGATATCTTTGCCAGCATCTTCTACATGCTTGGCACCTCCTTTACAACCTGAGGTAATTGTATCCTTTTAGTTTTTTTCAGTTTCCATTGGTCGTGTGTTAGAGATGTCATCAACACATCCATTCTCTTACTGTTAATCTTGCAGACTTTGTCCTGTTGTCTTCTCACGAGGGCTGTGGGACATTTTCTAGAGGATTGGCAGGTAAAGTTAAATCCTACTCTGACATTTACGTTCTCACACTCAGCCTCAGGAAAATATGTGGACTTCAGTGCATGTGTGAAAGCAGCTATATATAACTTTGGTCTTATTTCATTTCGAGACATCTTTTGAGATTATTGCTGCCACCCAAAGGAGGTGAATAAAATTTCTTAGCTGGTGTTTCTTGCTTCTTGCGAATCAACACTGTGTCGTGCGATGGTGATATTAGAACGCACTGAAAAATCTCATTTAAAAAAACAGGAAAGTGTGATCCCTGTTACTTAGTTAACTCGAGAAATGAATTTGACCTCGTAATCGTAAGGTATAGATTTTAAAAAGTACTTGACAATGTGAGCAAATACAATTTAAAGCAATTTTATTGATGACAACAAATGAGTGAAAATGAGTCCTAAAACATTTCCATCTATTGCAGTCATCGTAGAAGGCTGATCATCTTTTGGGAAAGTTTTTTTTTCAGCAATAAGGATGAAGTTCATGGATCCATTGGCAGACCTGGTGATGGTCGACAAAAATAAACAATTATAAAGACAAACTGCACACTTAATTGCCCAGATAAGTGTTGAGGTAATGTGTAAAATACTATTCAGATGAACGGGCATGAGTACAATCATTCATACGTAAAATATGCACAGAGGTAAACGAACACTCAGTTGCACAGAATAATGAATTTGTGTCATTGCAACCAAGTTTGATTTGAAAATTAAATACTTAAATACACAGACGATGCTTCAGACTGAATCAATAAATTAACTTAGAAATGAGTCAGGTTGACATTTGGAGAGACAGGAATCAAGACGTAAGCCGGAGGAATGATTCCGGCGTACTTGGCACCTCTAGTCTGCAGTTCCAGAGCGCACGTGGCTCTGCAACATCATCAGCAGGTCCATTTTCACAAACAAGTTCATGTAGTGTTGGTATGAAATAAACACAAAGGTGACAATAAGGTCATATTGGCAATGATCCTCGAAAGCACTTGCATGTAGTTGAATCAGATTCAATCTTTGTAACTTTCCAACCGATAGAGTCATGAGAGATGGCGTGAGAGAAAAGAGGAAAACTGTACGTTAAGTTCACACATCGTCACTGCATTTCCCAAATCTTCCCCGACATGTAAGTGAACAGTTCGTTTTTCATTCTACACCTTCACAGAAAAAAAAAGTTTCCAATAAAAGCGCTCAGGAAAAAAGTGCATCATATTTTGTCAAATACTGAGAAATAGCTAAACATTAAAAACAACACTCTTATAATAAACATCTGAAATATCTTTTTTTTTCTCACTAGTGCAACAACAGACTGGATCAAATAAACAGAAACGTTATTAACCTGCAGGCAATCAAAGCTCTATAAACATCGAATAATTTTCTTGCCACAGTAGCGGAACAGTTAAGAAGGCAACTTAATGATTGATGCTCGAACACAAACATGCCAACATTATACACATCGCTCTTTTTTATATAGAAATAAATAGCGGAATTATCATCTTAATCCTCTTCTTAAATAATTTCCATCTGTATATGACTCTGATGCACATTTTATATAAAGTATCTAATACACAACTTCAATTTCAACACTACTGTTATACATAATATAATTCTCTATGTTGCTTTCATTCGGCTTTGGAGAGAAAATGCTTACAGAATGAAGACCTGTAAACGTCGACGTTTTCCACTCATATTATGACCTTAATATTATACAACATCAAATGTTGGTCCTTTTTTTTTTTCTTGTTTTTGGTGATTTTCTTTTCTTTTCTTTACAAACATTATGTACAGAGTAGCTGATAGCGAAGGCAGGATTGTCTAAAACTCAAAATCAACAAGTGCTTTTTGTTTCATCTCTACTGTGTCGTTTTTATACCTTTCCCAATAATCCTCCACAGAACCGAGCAGATAATCAGAACCAGTGTAGGATATTAATATTAATATGCAGTTTACTGGAAGAACATGAAGAAATGGACGTCCCACGACTGTTTCACATATTGACCTGAAACATCTTCTCTACAATATGCAGCTACACAAGTCCCCATAAACACTGCCGACTATGGTGTAGAGACCAAAAGGCAGCAGACGAAAACGATGAACCCTTGCTCAGTATTCATAAAAACTGTCACCTCGCTCACACACTCCTCCCATGAATGTTAAGATCTGTTGCAGAGACAAACCAGGCGGTAAAATAACAACTTGTTATTATGTGTGATGTTCGACTCGTTTGCAAACCTATTTCACAACTGAGAGCAGGATTTCTTGGAATTTTAAGGAGTGACTTAGTATTGCACGAGAGAGAGAGAGAGAGAGAGAGAGATCAATGCAGCAGAAGGCCAAACTCCAAAAACACTTGACCTTATCCTTCCCTATATATCTTTTTCCTTCTCTGCCTTGTAAACATCCACATCTTTCAAACTCCACACTAACTGTGCAAGTACATTTATAATTTGTGTAAATGTATAATCTCCACTCTAAAATAATCTCTAGTAACAGATTCTGCATGTGTGAAAATGTAGAATCTATAGGCTATGGATAAGATTTGGGGGCGAGAAGCCCTCTGGTTTCAATCACATTTGAGCAGGCTCTGGTTGCCTGAGCTAAACAGAGACCAAAATACATCTGCTATCTGCTTTTTATTTTATCTGCATTACAGCCGTTTTTAGAGATTAGCCAAAATATTATCTGGACCAAAAACACCTCAAAAAGTTTGTGTTGAGAAATGTTCAACTCGTGAGATAAAGGACTTGTCGGACTATAAACAGTGTACGGTGAACAGAAGATAGAGTCTTGGCCCAGATATCTGCTCTCTACACCAGAAGCCCAAAAGAAGTGGCCGTTGCCCCCAGAGGCTAATTCGCATTAGACAATAGTTGTCTAAACTCAGGGATTGATTTTAGATAATCTTAATTAGATTATTCTCAGAGCCACAGACATTATACAGCTTCATGACAGGCTGAGTTGTAACCATCACAACTTATTTCATTTTTGTGTGTGAAATAGTTGGAGCACCCCTTTAAATTAACACAGAGGCGTGCACACTCTGTTTCACCGCTGTAAAGTATTGCTACTCATACTTATTCTGAATTTGCACACTGAACTAAACTGTGACCTTGAAGATGACATTGGAGACTTGGAGATCTCCAAAACAGCAAAGATGATACTTGTTAAAAGCTGCAAATGGAACAAATGTCACACTACACCAGCGGTCTGTCAGCTCTGTAACTGTCTGGCAACACCAGCAGAGGGCGCCAGAGGGTGTTAGCTGATGAATAAATACATGGGCTCAGCCATGATAAGCCCTATGAGGAGGAATGGCACAATCCAGTATGATAAGTATGAAACCTTCATGATATACAAACACAACAACAACACTTGGAGACCATGTTCACATGAAACTAAACACCCAGAGAGAGCTGCTTGCGCTCATCGCTCTTCTTCTCCCCTCACTAATGGCACATTGGAGAAGACGCTCACTGGGACTGAAGACAGACATCATTCCAAATGGCACTGGTTTTAGAGAGAAATGCATTGTGGACCATTTTCCCTGGCTTGTTCTCTCAGATCACAGATTCCACAGTGATTTAAAATAAAAAGGATGTCCAGGTTTGTGACATGATCCTGTTCACACGAGGAAGCAGAGGACAGTAGAAGAGGCAAAAGGCATCATCGCCATGCAGAGGCTTTGAGACTGTATAGAAGGTCTGTGTGTGACGGTTGAGGCCGTCCGCCATTGTGCCTGGAGCTGGTGCAGCACGTTTCGCCAGGTTTCGACGAACAGTTGTGCAATGAAAAACTGGATGAAAACCACATGTTCGATTCTTGGCTCGTCTGTATCAACATTCACTCGTCCACACGCACACAAAACCTGAAGCTCCTGTTTCAAGACTCTCATCATTGAAGATCTTTAGAGCAAATGAATTCGCTTAAACCTGCCATCATGTGTTGTTCTTCTCTGCGGTGAATGTGTTTGCTGTATAATGAGCTGAAGGTCGTCTCAGGTTAATATTTTACATCAAGCGTTATGTAGATGCAAACAGATAAATACAGCGCTGTCACCCAGCTCCAGGCGGTTTCAGAAAAAGGGGGTCTGGGCTTTGTGCAACGTCGTGATCCATTTTTATGGTGAATGCAAAAACTCGACTGAGAAACAGGGATCTTGTGTTGTTGTTTGAATGTGAGGCCCTTTATCTTATATGTATAGTGTCCAAATACGCCTCCTGATCTTTTCTGTCAAAACCAATATTAAGGAGACGTCGATTCCCACTACTGAAATAATAAATTAGATGTTTCTGTGTCAAGTTTTTACATTGAGCCTCGGTTCTGGTCCATCATGCTGTGTGTTTGGTTTCTGTCGGTGCTGCGGACACAGTCAGCCCCGAGTGGCCTCAAAACAGCTGGGTCTTTCTGACTGACTGGAGCCAAGATGGCGCCTCACCAAGACGAAGAAGAGTCTGAGCAAAAGACGTTAGCAGAGACTGTCTGCTTTTACGTGGAGGATTTTGGAGAAGCCAGGTCTCTTCTTCAGAGCCTGAAAGAAAAGGATGAAAGAAGTTCAAAAATCTTAATCTCATCTCTCAATACCCGAAGGACAAATGTTTTTTTTCTCTCTCTCTCTCATGAAATTCACCTGAAGAGAACTTGCTTCACAGAAAGAGATGACTGAACACGAGGAGAACTTTGGCTTCTCTTTCACAGCAAAAAGAGCGAGAGATAAAAATACATTCTGGCTGTTTGCAGCTTTTGGAGAGGTTACCTAACCGTTGTGCAAGTGCACCATCTTGAGTATAATGTCCAAGAAGAACTCACTGTAAAACTGACTCATACACAGATCTTTAAAAAAAGCTGTGAAATCCCAGGTTTTACTTATGTTTTGTTGTTGTGTGTGGTCAACTATAAAAAAATGACCCGAGCCTCTCACACTGACTGAGCAGCACAGCCACAACCGGCAGCCAAGCACTGGGACCCCAACCACTGACTCATGGTTTAAATGGTGAGTGGTTGCAGTAAAAATAGATGCAGCTCATCCTCTGAACAACTATTAGCTCAGCTGTTAGTCATGTTAATAAAGTGGTGGTAAAAAAAAGAAACAGGATGCGTAAGAAAGTTCAAACGTCTGTTTACAGAGCGACCCTCCGTGTTAGTCATTACCTTCACACAGTCAACACTGACTGCCCTGGATGGATGGAGGAGTAGTTATACAATAAAGGAATGAGTGTATGGATTACCAAGTGAGCAAAGGGGGCCCCAGAACCCCCTGGCGTCTAAAGCCCCTGTCTTTTGGTTGGTTGGTTTGTTTGTCAGCAGGGTTGCGCAAAAACTACTGAGTGGATTTCCACTAATCTGGAGGAAGGGTGTGGTTGGGCCAAAAAAACAACACATTAAACTTTGGCATTGTCCTGAATACAGACACAAGACGTTTTTACTGCTTTCTTTAACATTGTGTCATTGGGCGTTTTGACATTTTCCCAGGATATAATTCATGGATTTTGATTAAAAAAAATCAGGCACACTTAGGAAATGGATATCTGAGTGTGTGAAATTTGTTGCATCTAGATTGGATTTAAGGGAACTGTTGGGCCTTAGCAAAGGCATGAGCTCTACTGAGTAAAACTAATAAAAATGTATGAATTATAAACTTTATTTAAATAGTACCTTTCAAAACACAGTTAAGGTGCTTTGAAGAATTAAAAGCATTAGAGCACAAATATAAGAATGAAAATGTTACAGATGAGAATTTTTTTTTTTAAATTATTACAAAAGTTGTTAAGATCGAAGCCATATTAAAAGCAAAGGGCCATTTTAATCGTTAATTATCAATAGATTTAGTAGTAAAACTCTGAAGGTAATGGAAATCTTCCATCATTTCTCTCTAAAGCTAAAAAAACCAAATTCTTGAGTGTGTTTACTATCATGATGACAAAGAACAAATGTTCACTGAGAAGAAACAGGCATAAGGAACATGTGAGTGTTAGGTCTGATGCCACGGTTACCTGCAGCTTGTTCACCATCTCATCAAACAGTTTTCTAGCTTCAGGACTGTTGGGGTCCTCAAAGTAGTCTTCTATACCGATCTGCACCACGATGGACTTCAGGTTGCGGCAAACACCTACATGAGAGGACGGAGGATTTAGTGTTTATCATGAATTCATTTGTCTTCATCAGTAATAATCTATTTGTCTGTAGTTGCATCTTAGTTTTTCAAAACCTTGAAATGGAAACCTACACTATTTTAGAGCCATTACATTAAACATATGGAAAATATTTCTTGGTGCCGGATTTTAATAAAGTAACACGATCCCTCCCGATCACTAAAGTATCTATCTATCTGTCCCTTTCTCTATCTATCTATCCATCTATCTATTTATCTATCTCTCCATCCATCTATCTACATAGATGAGATTTCTCTGTCGTCAGTGGAGTCTACTCACTGTTGAAGTGGAGCAGGGCTTTCGGTGTGACCGGTGTAGATGTGAGCACCAGCATCTCCAGGCCCTTCAGGCCTTCTCTGCAAACCTCTGCTGCCACCTCCTGGTTGATCTCACTCACATGGTCCAACTCCAGCACCTGCAGACGCATGCAGTTCCTCGCTGGAGGAGAAAATCCAGCACATTTGATATAATTATTATTTTTGTTGATAATAAATAGATTGTTTGGATACAAAACCTGGTTAAATGACTTTTTCAGGATATTTGAACAATACTACGACAATACTGATAACCGTGATCATTTCAGTCACTGTAGTCATGATACAAACTTTTCTCAAAGTCAGTAGTATAGAAATGACTCCATGCTGAATGACATGTTTTAAAAGGAACTATTACCCAGTGAAGCCAAACCCTGAATGCCACATCCGGCCCCTCCCACACCAAGAGCACGGAGGTGTGGCCAACATCTTCCGATGGTCTGCAGACATCGGTTACTGAAACGAGCTGGTTGTTGGCTGAAAGAGACGGGAAATCAAATCTATATAGAGTGATTTCACTAACAATTAGTTATCACAACATATAAAGCATTTATTAAAGTTGTAAAGATACTTCTGTACATTACCATGGGTGTAGTGGTGCCACCTGTAGGGAGATGATGTCTCTACAACCTGCTCCGAGGGCCCAGATCACCTCTTGACCAACTGGGTCTGTGGCACTCCTGCAACACAATGGATACAATTACTTAGATTTATTAATACAAATATGAAATCTGCTGTAACTTTATATGAATGTATAGTTTTATTAAGGTAAGATAAGGCCGAGGTGTTGGGATGTACCTGTAGGTGACAGCCTGCAGAGCTCGACAGTAGCAGCTGGCCAGCCACAGGGAGCGATCCGTCAGCAGGTTGGGGCAGTGGGAAATCTTCAGTATCAGCAGGTTGCTTCCTGTGGCCTTTAGCAGCGCCTCCAGACCCTCCTCCAGACAGCCACTTACACAGAGCCGCGAGTGAAGGTCAACAAGAAAAGACGGAGACAGAGACAGAGGAAGTACAGTAATTCTCCCGTCCTTCATAACAGCACTTATGGTACTGAAGAAAATGTTCTTGAAAAAGTTAGTGGCAATATGCTGCATGCAGGAAGAACAATTTAAGAGCATCTTCAACCTAAAGAAAATGCTTTCACCCTCACACAGGATTTAAAACTCTTTCCACTTTATTTCAGGAAAGGAAAACTGATATTTTACATGCTGATCATTATCAAAAACATCTGTGTGCAATCGTATATTCTCCTCCTGGCTTCCTCTCATCTGCATCGCTAGCGGTACACAAAATATTAAGTACCTCCCATTGATGGCGTAATATTTTAAAAACCATGTGCAAATCCTGAGCTGCGCTGCATGTGCGTCTCACCGTGTGCTTTTAAGGTAGTCCTCCTTGGTTTCCTTCTTGCCTCGCTGTCGCGGTTTGAGGTTTTGCAGGATGAGGGAGTGTGTCTGAGTGCACCACTGAGACAGCGTGCTCAGAAACTATGAGAGAAACATGGTGGTGACAAGTGAAAATCTTCAAAATACACAGCAAAGATGCTCCTGCATCTATAACCCTGCTGATTATTATTGACTTGTGTTCACCTTGGAAGAAATGCGAGCGTTCTCCAGGAGCACTCTGGTCCACACGGCCGGGTGACGAGCCACAAACTTCCAGTCCCGGCAGACCTCCGCAGCTCTCAGCAGGGTTTTAGTGTCCAGGTAAGTGAAGATGCAGAAGAGAGCCGCACGCATCTTCAGGATCTCCGGACTGATCACCTCGTTGGATTTGGACGGGCTCTTTTCATGGCGACACGGTTTGCTGTACACTCCTTCTGACCGACCTGTGGGACAGACCAAGGACGAAAGCATTTCTAGTTTATTCTAGAAGGGCCCTCAGAGAGCACAACAGTCCCATGATGAAACCACACCTAAATTTACTAGATCCAGATTGAATCTAGATCTGCATCTTGCACAAACTCAATAATATCAGCCTCCTAAACACACCAGACTTTTTTTTTTTCATCAGAATCCATGATTTGTTCTCTGTGAAATCAAGATAAATGTTGAATAAGTTAAAGGGAAAACAAATAATTCCTGTATCCGTACCCTCTTCTGGATCCAAACAAAATTCAATAGATTCTTCCCTGACCTAAACCACGTCCTTCCACTAAGTTTCGAGGTGATACGTCCAGTAGTTTTTACATATTCCTGCAAAATATGCGACAAATTCAGGCAATAACCCAACATCCTTGAAGGTGATAAAGACAATAATTCTCCTTTTCATTTCTTATTATAATAATTTCACAATAATCACGTATAACATATAATCTTTATGATTATCATTGTGTAAAATAAGTTAGTTCAGTAAATTAAACTCCCGGGTGAAAGTTTTTTTCCTTCTGTTACTGCACGACAAGCTAATTTTCTAAAGCAGATTTCTAAACAACAAACTGAGGTAAATACCAGTTAATGTGAACAGAAATTCTGTCACATGGTGGCGCCAACCTTCAACAAGACACCACATGAGACTACAAGTTTTTTTTTCTCTTTACTTGCAGTATATTTATCCGTGTCTCTCTATTGGCTGATACCACGTGTGCAGTGCAGGCTCAGCTTATCCCTCCCAGCAAGATTGCTCCTGGATGACTCATTTCATCTTTGGCCTTGGAAGGCGTCTGTTCAAAACCATCAGGGCTATGAACCATTGCTTACACTCTCACTCTTTTTTCTCTCTCACACACACACATACATACACCACCTACGCTCAAGACCGCAAAATTAACTAAAAAAGCAGAGTTGTGTGTTGCACGCTGAGGGAAAAGTAGCTACACACCATCTGATCAAAGCTGGCAGAGGCTCTCCCAATAAGGAGAGCTACGTCAGAGCGGAGGAACGCCAGTAAACATGTTGAGCGTTACGTGAGAAAAATGTTTGAGCTTAATGGGGCACTCATACGAATTTGTCATAGGGCTCTGGCCCAGTTTTACTCCTTCCCAGACTGCATCGCTCCACCTGCTATTTGGACGAAAGACGACAGCAGGCGGAGAAAAGTGGAGAGCAGCAGCAGCAGTGAGTTTAAGGATCTTGGCAGCGCAGGAAGTGAACAGAGAGACGTACAATCTGTGGTGGAGCTGAAGAAATGTGCCATTATGATTAGCGGTCTTTTGACATGGCTCATTACAGACTGCACAGAGGAGAAACTGAGGCGATACAACAGACAAACAACGTCGGACAATTACAAATATGTTCACTGTCTCTAAAGTTAACTCATCAACTACACTGACACAACACACAGAGAATAAAGTAAATATATCTCAGGGAGAATGGAGCTTTTGATTAAATCCCAATTATAATCAGTACAACCAACCATATTAACTGACTTTTATCAGCCCTAAACAGTGTTAGTGTATTAATAAATCATTTCCTAAAAAATCGAGAGCACAAATGCATTAAGGTGTGTTTGCATCAAATAAGCAGTAAGTCATCGTTAAAAATAAAGAAATTAGTAACAAGAATACACAAAAAACAAAACTCACTGGAGATTTAGCTTCTGGCTTTTTTGCATTTCTTCTAAACCACAGAAACAGTTTAACAAATAATCCTCATTCAATATCTCCATGGAAATGTAGTAACTGGAGTTACTGTGGCGGAAAGGTTTGGAAACATCAAGTAATTGGATGATGTGTATCTTAGTGAGGACGCTTATTGGAATAATGCATTCCCCAGCCTCTTCCCCTAACCTTAACCATCCAACTAAATGCCTTGGCCTATCCCTTAGCCTGACCCAAACCTAATTCTGACCCTAAAACCAAGTCCTAACCCTCAAACACTCCATTGAAAAAGGAAAAATTGACTGAACAGTGTACAGCTTATGACGCCCTTTTTCTACCTTAATCTAAACCTTCATTCCATTTTTTAAAATAAAAATTCTTTGGAAGATAGAATACGGACATTCATGAGAGGGTTTGTGTCGTCGTTACTCATGAAGTGTTAATATTGTCGCGTTTACACACTGCAGCAGATATGAGGCAGACTCCCTCCAAGTTGACCATATATGCACATGTCTGATCCAACCCATCCACTCTCTCTCTGCTGCTCGGACCTCACACCAGAGAGAGTGTGTGAGATGAAGTGTGTGGATTTCTAACCAGCACCAGAGTATCTGAGGCCTCACCTATGTTAGGGCGGTATCCTGCCCTGCCGTGGTGGGGATAGGGCGCAGCAGACTGCTGTACCTCAGCCACGGCTCTCCTCTCCTGTTCCCACATCTCCACCTCGGACTCCGTTGTCCTGGAGCCCACGTCTGACACGTCTCCCTCATCGCCTTCCGTGCTGTTCCTGTAAGGTCGCCGCTGCCAGTTCTGGATCGCCTGTTTACGGAGACCCCAGTTCCTCGAGCCGCATCCGGGGGAGCGCTCGTAACCGCCCTCACCCAGCCGACACTGCATGTGATAGTACTGAGCCTCGGTACAGTCCTCCATGGGATGCATCTCGACGCTGTCACTGTCATAACCACCAGATCCCTGTGACACGGACTTGATCCGCCCTGATGCCCTGCAGCAGAAGAATGGGAAGTGGAGCATGAGTAATGATTGAAAGATTGTTTTTTTCTTTTTGAGGAGAACACATCTGACACATGAAAAGTCTGTTACACATTAGGGCTGTTGGGATGAATCTTGGGAAACAGCACACACACAAGTCTAGAGACTAACCTTAACCATAGTTATTACCCTAACCCTCATCCTAACCTTAATCTAAACCTAACCTTCAAAAATGCCTTCACCTTAAAGTTTCATGATTTAGGGTTAAGTGAAGAGAGTGTGCACCAGAAAAAAACTGCCCTTCAACTCATGTTTTCAAGTCCCTGTGACATATTCCACAAATATAGACATCGCAAATTTTAGTGAAACAAGTGGTTTTGCTCGTACAATGTCAAAACGATTATCAACAGATCATTTTCACTGTCTGTGTAGCTTTGAACTGCACAAGGCCGTCAGAGAGAATAGCTAAGAAACCAAATCTCTGGAGGTACACATGGTACATAGTTATAATAGGTTTCATTCTTTATTCAAAATGACAAAAAAGTTGAATATAAAAAATAAAAAAGAATAAAATTGAAATGAGATTAGATAGGAAGATTAAAAAGGCTCACTGCACATCAACGGTACAGACATGATCAACATGAAAATAAAGGCTTTTTCACTCTAGGACATTGTAGGTGGCTGATAGTCAGAGCTGTAAACCACCTCCTCTGTTAAGTGATGGTTTTTCCCAGTTGGCAAAGATGGATTCTTTCACTCCTCTTTCAATCCATCAGTGTTCTCTGGCCAGAATACAAACATTACCATCTTCAATTTAGTGCCCCTGTTTGTTGTGGTGTAAGTGAACTGCTGAGTCATGGCCTGAGGAACTGTCTCTCCTATGCTGTGTCATCTGTTTGAGTTGTTTTGTTTCTCCAGAGCAAACCTTGTTGAATTGGACTGAATAAACCACATTGTTCTGTTTGGGTCTGATTCACGTTCTTGCACCCTCCTGTCTTTAAGATAAATGTCAAGCTAAAGACAGATTCCTGGGAACAGTCTGTCTCTGACTAAAGGTCATAAAATACACTTGAACATGCATTTCAAGCTTATTAATCCACATATCAAAAACACTGTGGTTTTGTAAAGGTCTTGTGGGTAGTGACCAGCAGAGACTCCTGGAAATACTGCCAAGAATTAATCTTTCTCTTAAGCCTTGGCTCTTAAGCCTTCACTATTTTCAGTAAAGATTTCTCTCTACCCAGCAGTGTTGGTATTCAATTTGACTTAACCCCTTCTAAAACCAGACGTTGCAGTGCGACTGACATGGTATGGCAGCATCTCAGAGAATTCATAGTAGAACGAGGGCAGCTTTTGTACATATGTGCTGTGATGGTGCTTAAAATAACCTCAGAGCTGGCACAAGCAATGAACGGTTACAAATATCAGCCTCTGAAAAAGTAGGACATTTTCCTTTTCTCAGAGTCAAATCATCTGTTTAAATCGTTTTGGGAATAAAAAAGAAAGGGAGTCTGATCCTGCAAGTACAACCTACATCAAGACCTACAAGTGAACATGAAGAACAGAAGATGAAATATATACGTTTAGCCACAAATTAAACAGCTTGTGATTACTGCAGGAACTGCTAACTTATTATTTCAATGTGTGATTCCACAGTAGCATCAGAGAGAAGTAATCTGTAGAAGGAACACAGAGACTCTTGTATTGATTCTTTATGTGCAAATACATTTTTAAAAGACTTATTTTTTCTTTATGTAAGACATAAAAGAATATATTAGTGATCATTATAGAGATTTCAAAAAGTAAAGATATTTTGGTGCAAATTTGCCACATTTCTAATGAGAATCTAAATCTTCACTGATTACGATCTATTTATAACATGAGACAGGAGGTTCTGAGGGATGTTGTTTGGAGTATCTGTGTGTGTCCATGATTCAAAGGGGAAGGCCTGACAGGTTTTGTGAGATCACATTAGGAAACACGTTCACGTACCAACTGGGGACGACAGTTATGTTAGTCAGGGTATAACGGCAGCGCCATGTGTCTGAAATCTCCAGCAGAGACCCGAATATAAAAAGTCACACCTCATGTCCAATCTCCATCTCGGTGTCATTACTCAGTGAGTCTCAGTCTTAAAACAGGATCTATTACATCACATATCCGTGTCCAACACTATCGTGCATTTGAATATGTTAATGTTGATCGTCAGAGTGTGGAAACGCATGTAAGAGGAGGAGTCACATGATTCTTAGGTACATCTGTTACTGTTTCAATAAATGAGAGCAACAACTAACAGAGACTCGTTATCTTTTTAGTGTTTAGTTGAAAAAATATGATAAAAATCTATTTAAATTTCCAAATTTTGTCATTTAAAACAGGGTAAAGGAGCAAATCCTCACATTTGGTTGTTAAGCAGTTTGCTTGATAATCAACAAACGATTTGTTAATTATGAAAAATGTAGATGAATAATTTGCCGTTGACTAATTCATTTATCTAAAACTCCATTAATCATGTGAGCACCTAAGTGTTGTTGATGCAGCAGAAACCAAATGTACTGAAACGTACGATCTACTGAGACAGTGCTGTGTTTGTGGAGATATCTACAATATTATGTCTTGCTTTTGAAATTTAAACAACTGATGGAAAGGCAAAATTATTAAGTGCCATAGGTCGCACAGGTTGTAACTCTGGCACATACACTGGTTTCATTAGCTTTCTGCTGCTGCCTTGTTGGCCAACATTAAACCACACAGGACTGACAAGTGTTCCCCCGAAGACCAGGAGCAGTCAGCACTTTGGATGGTGGTTACAAGCTCTGTGACAGTTTCACTATAGCACCTCTCACCAGGTAAGAAAGATGAAGTGCACCAAATTTATCTGACAGGAAAGAGCAGCAAAATCTCCAGCGGGACCCAAAAACTGATTCTTTTCAAATAAACAGACACATTTTACAGCTCCCTTAACAGCTGACCGTCAAAGAAGATTCTGAAATGTATATTACAATCTAAAGAATGGTAAATCATGTATTTATATAGCGCTTCACATTCTTCACACACAATCAGTGCATCTATGGGCAGCACTTTTTTCTATGGGGAGTAATTGGGGTTCAATATCTTGCTCAAGGACACTTCAGCATGCAGATGGGATCAAACCCCTGACCGCTCTACCCCCTCAACAGCGGAGAAGTGGTTAGCACTGTCTCCTCACAGCAAGAGAGCTCCCAATCTGATTTCTGATTGGGCCAGGGTCTTTGTGTGTGGAGTTTGCATGTTCTTCCTGTGTCTGCATGTGTCTTCTCCCACAGTCCACACATGCTGGGGTTTAGGTTAACTGGAGCAATGTGAGTGTGGGTGTGAATGGTTGTCTGCCTGTGTTTGTTGGCCCTGTGATACACTGGTGACCTGTCAGTCTATCGTGCCTCTCGCCCAAAGTCAGCTGGGATTGGCTCCAGCCCCTGTGCGACCCTCAAAGGATAAGCTGTTTAAATAATGGATGGATGGATCTAAAGAACACTGCACAAGAAACACTCTTCCTAATCATACTACCTGTATTAAGGTAGTTAAGAACAAGAGTAATCTTATCTTTACTTGCTGTTAGTGAGAGGACCAGTACATGAGGATTTTCACTTGTCTCATTAAGCTCCTTATGGCACAGTGAAACTTGGGATGGTTTACAATTCCAACTTACCCTGTGCTGGGGGACGAACGTCGGTCTGATACCTGGTACATGCCTCTTGTGCTTCCAGAGAGGCTGGAATTTCTCTGCAGAGACACAAACGCAATATTATCGACTCAGTACTTTTAACTTCCTCAGATGTGTCCATGGCTTTGGTATCATATACACAGAGATGTGTATAATGGAAATCTACAGTATATGAGAGTTTTGATAGGCATGTTAGTTTGCAATGAGATAAATTTGTATTTTGAAATAGTCAATACTACAATAAAGACAATAAACACAAACCTAAGTACCAAATGCTCTTGATACCATTATCAACCAGTTGTCTGTGTCCATCAAACAGACTGATTCATATAAATCTAAAAGGGAATAAAATCATGTTAGTGGATGGGTCTTAAATGAAAAAAAGGTGTTTAGATATCTTGTTCTCAAATGAAGTGTTGGATAGAAAGACTTGCTGACCAACAAACGAGTAAAGATGCAGCTCTGAAAGCAAGTGTATCTAGTGGTGGATGTGTAATCTGCCTCTCACTCGTTCTGTTTGCCCGAGAGCAAAACCCTCCTTGTTCCTCTCACATGCTGAGTGTAGTGTTTGTACGTGTGTGCGTACATCCATGTGTATGTGTGAGGCAGTGCCAAGTGGGAGTATGTGCACCTGACCGGCAACATGTCACAGAGGGAAAATGTGCAGGAACTCAAACTCTCTCTCTCTTCTCTCTCTCTCTCTGTTCTACTCGCTCAGCTTGCTATTGGCTTAGTGCCAATGGAATAGGACCATGGAGGAAATAGGCAAACACACAAACATTGTTTTTTTTCTGACCAGGCTGCAGTGAAAAGACAAATCTCACACAATGGATGAAATAAAAAAACACTTTTGGTCAAAACTCAATTTTTCCATTTATTTCTCCCTCTTGCTCTCAGCAGCTGTCAGTCCTACCAGTGTGACTGTAAAATCTGTCTCTCGGGTGGTGACGGGCAGAGAGATGGAGAGGCAGGGTGTGAAGGTGTTAGTTGGCTCAAAGTGTCGACCACTGTTTGACTCCACATGTGTCCGTGTCATGATGATTACTCACACGCACATGCAGAGACATGACATGTCATCGACTGATATTTAAATCCAAAGAGATCATTGTGCTTTAATCATGGGTGTGTTGTACAGTTATGCAAATTAATTATTTGCAAATACATAAAATGGGTCATTTTGTTTATTTGGAAAAACTGGTTAGGGACAACAGAGCAAACTCTATGATAAAACCACAATCAATGTGTAGATGAGATAACATAATGGGAGTTTAGCGATGAGGCTTTAAGGGCACTGTTGGGCCTTATGTGCCTTACTGAGTGTCAGTCTAGTTACTGTTTACAACTAAAATGCTGTTAACCAATTCCAGACGTCTTTACAACAGGCTACTTATTATTACAAAAAAAAGCAGCACTCACACCACTGACTGCTCTCTATAAGGTGAGTGAGCCGAAGATGCAGATAAACATCTCAGGTATCAGTGATGCCGATCTGAAGAGACGAGGATCACGTATGTGAAAATTGAAGCAGAATTTCTCTCGGGCAGATCTGCACCACGTTACATCTAATTTAAAATCATGCTGAAACCTTGAGCAAGAGCTGGTTTCCATGGCAGCACACATTTGTGCAGAGTGGACCAGGTGACCTCTTCAAGAGGTTTGGAATAATTATTTCAATAAGTGACATTTATAAGAACAGACAATGCTGTCTGTGTCTTTATTTTTATTTTTCTAACTCACAGAGGCAAAGCAGAGAGCAACATAAAGGAAGACGTGTTAAAGAGCTGATGTGTGATTTCCGGAGGCTTTTGTCCAAGCACACCCTCTGGTCAGGATGCCGTCTGCCTTCATATTTCTACTGTTCTGATGCTGAATACTTAGACTTCTGTTCACCTTGCAAACACAAGTCCTCACACATCCTCCAGTGGGTGAGCAGCACTTGATTAAACAACAAAATGCTGTAGATACAGTACATAAACGTTATGGTCTAATATATGTAGACATCCCTGCAGGCCCATGTTAGTGTAAGCTGGGTTTGGAGCTGTAAGACTGCATGCACAGAGCCAAGTGCATAAACAAATGGATTTCAGAAAGTAGCGTGGTAGAGCAGGGACTTTACTCTTTCAAAATTATGACTTTATGCTTGTAAAATTATGACTTATCAGCATTATTAATAAATTACCTGGCATCCATTGCCCTTCGAGGCCTGAAGGCTGCAGCGTCCCAGGCTCCCGTTCGGTGTTGTGCCGCAGCTGCTGATGATCTGCAGCTGTTTTTCGGCGCGGTCGGCTCGGTCCAGCAGCTCCTCGATGAACTGCTGCAGACGCACCTTGGCGTTGGCTTCCCGCGCTGCCGTCTCCTGAAGGAACTGGTCAATCTGGGCAACCTCCCTGCGGGCAGAGGGGGGAATTGGTGATATTATCGGCACATTCTTTAACCTGGATAACAAACAATCTTAAACTGACGATAGAGAGCATCAGCAGAACTGCCCTTGTGACAAATATTTACAGCTCACATGGAGAGGGGCTTAGCAACAGGGTGGGCAAAGCAGACAATTACCTTAGGCCCTGATTATGTTCATCCACAGCACCAACAATTTTGTGAGAATCGCTTTACATTCTATGATCATACAACTGCAACGACAGCATGGTCAGAAACCCCCGAACAAGCCTCCATATCACAAGCTTCATAAATGTAGAGGTTTGGTTTGAGGGAGGGTGGTGGTGCACTCAAACTTTACTATTATTAGGTCCCTTTTGCCTGAGGCTCTCAAAGTCCCTTGAAACGCTCCTGCACATATTGAGCAAATGGTCCTTATGTGACTTCAAACTTTTTTTTTCCCTCGCTGTATTTTGTCAAAACCTCTCTCACATACAGAGCAGCTGCTGTCCTGCCCTTAACACACACTGAAGGCTGGTGACAGAGATAAATACACAATCCAAACACACAGAGAGAGAGAGACAGAGAGGGGGTGAGAGAGAAAAGAAATGGAGGGTGAGAGAGCAGCTGGATATTTATACCGCAGGCAAAGGAGGGCTAAGTTCATCCTTCTAAGGGACAGTGTGTTACTCAGATACAGAGGCAGGATGTCAGGAAACCTTAGTGGTTGTCTGCAGCCATCTTTCCCTGCAGTCATTCTGTTTGTGTCGTCTGAATAAACAGTGTGTGCATGATTAATGTTCTGGTCATAAATGTTCCTGAATGTGCAGATGGAATTAGTCAGATCACATCAACTCAATACCTTTCAGCTTGGATAATGAACTGTAGAAGAAGTCACTGATGTATAGCACTAATGAACAGCCTCTGTAATAATGGCCTCAACCTGGTGAAAGTTCAAATCAACCAAACAGAGCAAGTCAAACTGCTCCCACAGATAACGTATAATAGATAACCTTATATTTGACCTCAGTGCCGGCTGGTGCAGTGAAAAATACATTCAATGGGATGCAGATAAACTTCACCTGAGCAACACCACATACACACATTCCCACATACACATAAGCTGCTTTCAGGCATGAACTCCGGAAAAGAGTTTGTCTTTGACATATGAAGAAAACAGCAGGAGACTGTTCCAGACACGTCCCTGTTGTTGTGAACGTGTCTGGAACGACTCAGGTGACGGGTAGAGCAGCAGGAGGCAGGCATGACGTATAAATTCAGCTGCAGACATCACGTGTTTTCGTTCCCAGCTCAAATACACCGGCCTCAGCCAGTAACACTTAACACTCTCGAATCTCATCGTCTTTCCAAGTTCACATCTTTGTCAGCGACTCCCGTGCGACTCCCCTTTAACACCCAGGGATGTGTATCCTCAGCAAACGCTAATGACAAAGAAATGTAATTGAGATATTTTACAGTTTAACGATAAAATGTATTAAAAAAAAACAATATATTGATTTTTTATGTAGAATTTTCTTTCCGCATTGTTTATCCTTGAACATATTCGTATTGGTAAAACATATATGCTAATAATGCTCATATCAGTCAATTTTTATTTGCAAACTGATCAGTCAGGCTCTAATGACTAATCAAATATTCTAAATTTTGATGATTTATCTCTGTAATTCTGCTGATAACATACTTTTCACATCCATAGCTTGTCTCCAGCCAACACAAAGTCTCACATCCCCTTTTCTGTTTAATTTTGATGCCTGTTATTCCCAGAAGCTGCAGACGTCTACAAGTCTTTTTCCTTTTTCTTTTGTGTATCTATGTTTGTGTCCTTATAAACAGCCGGAGCCTCCGCTGTCCAAACAATGCAATCAGGAGAGATTACCAAGGCGAACCAGTGGTCTGACCTTGACAAAGCCAAAGGAGCCTTAAAGAGTTCACTGAAGAGAGCGGAATGAAAATCTTTGTTTTACCACTTTGAATTGATCATTTCTTCATTTTCTATTTCCCACATCTTTAACATGTCATGGAATAAGGTGCTTATCCACAGCTTCTTGCAGAAGCATTTGTTTTTAACATACTGTGTGAAGGAGGCTGATTGAGGGATGTTTTCACACCTACTTTAAAATACTCACAACTTATGGCTGTTACACAATCTAGAATCATCTCCAAACGGTACCAAGGCTCAAAGTGAACGCTCTTGAAACGGGGACATTCTGCGATAAAAATAGTTTGATGTCTGGCACAGTTAACTTTCCTCATCTTCAGGCAAAGATTACAGAAATACAACTCCCAAATTAACCCAGGTGAGTGAAGGGAGAAATGGAAGCAGAAGTGCCATCATATTTGTGAGTAAATAATCAGTGTGTCAGTAAATTATACAACAATTAAGTGGCCATTAAGTCTCCTCTTCCCTTCTGTGATCAATCTTTGTTTAAAGCTCCTCTCTTGGTAATTGCTCATAATGTGTTATAAAATTATTTTATCTACACTGGGCTCATTGAGTCACGTAAAAAGATTGAACAGGCTCATTAAAGAACACTGTCTCCACTGCTATGAGGTGACACTTCTCATTGTGGAAATCTACAGAGAGAACATAAAGAAAGTGTGTTTAAGTCATGAATTGCTTCAGCTCTAAGATCCTCTGTGCAGTGAATCCTTAACAAACAGTAAACTCTGCTCTCTGCTTCTGGAAGAGGACATTTCAACATCCATCTGACACAGACTGCATCAACGAGGATCTCTCAGACTTACTGGAGATTCAGAAACAGGAGGAGGCAGAGAAAGTAAAAGCTTGTGTACTAAGAACATCAAGAATATTGGCTCAGGCTGTTTTAGATCATCTAAGGACGTGGAACAGTCTAAAGGTAAGAGAGACAAACATATGGATTCTGTTATTGGATGGATATAATGTATACTGTATATCTGAAGAAATGTGAAGGTGTCGGGTCAGTTTCAGTTTGTAACTGTGTAAATAATGAAGAGATTTATCTTTGAAGTAAAGTGCCACAACTGAAAAACTGCATCAGAGAGAGACAGAGTCAGTGAATTATTTCTGAGCCAGAAGAGACTTGTTGAAATGAACATATGGTGGAAATTGATGTAAACAAGCAACTTTTTTTTTCCAATATAAAAGTGTAATTTATTCTGGTTTAATATTTAGAGCTGTACCTAATGTGATGTATAAGTAAGCAGCCTGAAGCAATGGTTGCTCATTATTCAAGTTAATGAACAGAGTGAATAGAGTGTAGTTCTGCCATCAAATAGCTTCATGAATCCTTGAAGGAGCAGTTGTGGAGCTTGGCTTGGATGTGCTCTAAATTAGACCATTTCCGTTTTGGCATTTAAATGTTCTCATATCCATAATTTGTCTCAATCAATTATTAATCAAACATGACCAGGTTTCTGTTGTTACTGGAGACAGAGACACCCTCATGTTGGAACCAACACAGGAAACCCTTTACCTCCATTTCCTCTGTGACAGGAGGAAACACACAGAAGAACCGGACTGCCTGGCCGTCTAACCACTGAACTGAAGTAACCTCACCCTGCATACGTGAAATTCCTAAGGGAGAAGGAAGGGAATCAGGGAGATGAAATAAAATGAGATACATGGTGGAAGGTGGGCAGCAGGGAAGAGAAGAAAAAGAAAATCTCCACCGGATCCCGAGAGATGTTGCAAAAGAGGTAAGACAGGAAATAAAGGGGAGGAGAAAAGGAGAAAAAAAAAACATGAGAAGAAGGGAACAGCCACAAAGAGCGTGAGAGAAAAACACACTGCAGAGACTAAAGCAACAGACGGCAAAGAGAAATCTGCAGTCGTGTGAAAGCAGAAAGAAGGGGAGGTTTGACAGAGGAGAGAAATGGGATGTGGCTGCTTCCTGTTGCCAATCCTAAATTCAACATGCACACACACACACACTTGGCTCTTGCAGCGTGTTCCACTCCATCTCTTTCGAATTAAAGTCTCAAGGTGACAAACATGTCAGCGTGTTCACCCAGATGCTGCTAGAGAAGCAAACCACCATTTTCTTCTGGCTGATGAACAGGTTGTTAAATCTGAGGTGTGATTCAGGGAAAATGAGCCAGCGGAGGTTCCGTCCTGGATTTATATCGTCCTCATCACAACAGTTTATGTCGTGTGAGTTTTGCTGAAGGTGTTGCATAATTTCGTACCTCAGACAAACCAAACATCCAGGTACAAACATTATAATGCAACAAATTAACGGAACACAATTGAAACAATCCCCTGAATCACCCCAGGTCACATGCTTTTAACTACATAGCAGCCAAGTGGAACTTGAGTTGAGCATATCTTCAAAAATTAATGCAAATGAATGCACCATGCCCATGAACTGTCAGGGCAGTGTGGGAGGGGCAGTGTGTGACCTCCACTGTCGCCATGTTTCTGACAGAGAGCAAACCCATCTGTTTGGTCTGAGTTTTGTGGTGTGCCCTCTAGTGGAATATGTGACCAATTACGCTCAAAATGCATCTGGTTGTCTAAGCAAACGTTTGGTTAAACAAGTATAGCTCCGGCCTATGATGTCACTCAGGTCTGTGCATCTGACTCATACACATGATTGCCAAGAGAAGTACACTGCATTATGTATTTATACGGTATGTCATCATGTTTTTGTCCACAAGTGTATTTTTAAGCTGTCAAAGGTTCTTATCAAAACAATTTGCTTGTGTAATGGGTTGATGAAAACAATTGATTGATGATGACTGAATATTGTAAACTGTCAGAATAAATCAAATATCGGCCACTTGTAGTCAGGTTATACAGTTGAAGTGAAGCTTTGTATTTCATTTTTTTCTTGACGTAAGAAAAGAGCATTATAGTACTTTATACTCTTTCAAGTTCAATTTGAAAGCTGACAAAAAATGTTGGTCAAATATAAAAATATTTCTCTATCCTGACCTCACTGAAATGTAGAAATTAAAAAACGTTTGCTCCTTTTATGCCTGAATGAAATGATCTAAACTGTAGTTTTTT